CGGGGACCGACGGCGCCCCGGGCCCCGGCGTCTCCGCTGCAGTTGGGCCGCCGCCCGGGTCGGGCTTCCTGCTGTGGGGCGGCGAGGCTGTAGGGAGACGAGAGAGACCGAGAGGCCGTCTAAGGAGAGGCCGAGAGCAGCGCAGGGAGACTGAAGGGGGACGACGCAGACCCAGGGAGGGGAGGTGGGGTGCGGAGAGGCCGGAGGGCGGGGGTCCGGGGTGCGGTCGGCGGAGTGATGGACTGGGGCGTGGAGCGGGAGGTGGGGCTGCGGGGAGGCCGGAGGGGGGCGGGGAGACCCGAGGGATGCCGAGAGCCCGTGGGGGAGGTAAAGAGGCGCCTGGAGGGGAGGCCGGAGGGGGTGGATAAGGAAAGCTCTGGAAGGGGGAGGCTTGGGGACACTCGGGGAGCACCTGCGGGAGGAGCGAGGGGGAAGTCAGAACACCTGGGATTGACGGGAAAAGAACTGGAGGAAAAGAGTAAGGCACCCCTGTAATAAGGGGGAGCAAGCCGCCTCAGCTTCCAGGAGGTCCGAGCGGAGCACTGTTTCCTTCTGCCGCAAAGGAAGAGGGAGGTGAGCGTCTCGCCCTCCGATGCGACCAACTAAAAACCTTTTCTCAGCACCCGAGAGGCCTGATGGGAACATTTCATCTTGCTAAGGACTCTTTTCAAATGTATAGCTTTCAAAATCCCAACAGCCTATTTGTTCTGGGACTAAACATTTCTGACAACTTTGGTTCAATAACAAACTCTTTTTGCCCTTTCTTTAATATATATATAAACATCCGCCTTTTTGCTATTTACAGTTTGTTGAGAAAGTACCCAGAGCAAACCCCAGGGGGAGAGGTCTCATATTACAGGTTCTCCTAATTGTTTAAGCGCCCCTGACAACAGAGCTATTTAGTTTTCCCATCCGTGTTTACCCTGTCATCTCAGTCTGCAGATTCAAGCACTTGTGAGTGGATTTTTATCTGGCTTCTTGGACACCACTTACTAGTAAACCACAGCTAAGAAAGATTTTTAAAGCCTGGCTGGGAGGCGGAGGCCCCCAGTTAAGTATAAAGCACGCACGCCCTCTTACATTTTCCTCCTCCTTTAATGGTGGAAGCAGCTCCTCAGCGGTTAGGGCTTGAAAGATGACTTGTAAAATTATTCATGATTTCCCCCATCTTTGCAGACAGGTGGGTGAGCAAACTTCAGCCAGATTGGGAGCTGGGCGGCTTTCCATGCCCTGTACGCACTATCATCTCGCCATTTGCCGGGGTCCAAGACCCCCCAGCAGAACTAGACCGAGTCCTTACGACTCTTTCTGCTGCTTTAACGGCTGGGTTTCGGCATTTCTCTCCTCTTACACTGAAAGCTCTGTCCGCCCAATTGCGACTTTTGCAACACTTCATTTAAAGCGATTTATCTTGCCAAATTGACAATCTCCTTTAACATCAGCTTTCACCCAACAATAATAGCTGGTTATAGTTCATGTTTTTGCAGAGAGGGTGATTCTGACTCATTATGTTCAACGTCGTCCCATACACAGCTGAATAAAGTCCTGGTGGATATCCAATTCCTGACTCTCAACTGTTGACCTCCCAACTGCTTCCCCATAGATATCACCATCTGTTGTCATGGGAAAGATTGCCTGATATTTGGGTTAAATGCCACTGAAGTCATTCAATTTCCATGTGGAAAAATAACCCAAAGTAAATTGCCCCGTGAGGTGCGGAAGCTATTTTTCCCAGAGATAGTGAACCAAACACCCAAGTCAAAGTCAAACAAAAACACCTTCCCGCAGAGAATCCCTGATTTCTTATTCCCTCGGTAACTTATTTTCCTGCCATGCATGACACTGTATTTTTAAAGACTCAGGTGCCCCAAGGCAGTTGTTGGGATTGCAGGGAGGGGGGAGACTGTCGGAGCCCGGCTCCCTGGCCCGCCGCCCCCGCCTCGCACCCGGCGCTCGGATCGCCCGGGGGACCCCGCGCCGTGCAGGGCGGACCCCGCGCTCCCCCGGCCGCCCGCCGAGTCCCGCGAGCCCGCCGCCCGGCTCCCGAAAGGCGCGACCCCTTTTGACACTTTCCCTCCTCTGCGATGGAGCAGCTACTTAACATGCAAAGTTTTCTCCAGCCTGCCCGGCTCGCTCGAGATCATTTCAGTAGCTTAACTGGCTCCTTTCCGAAAAGGCTGCCAAGACACACAAAATCTGGGGACACATTTTGCTCCTTTCGAACGGGAATATCCGTGCAGAGACGGGCTCTCCTCGCGGGCAAACTCTGACCCCTTTCTCGTCCCGCCCTGGATCGCGCCCTCTCCCCGTCCCACCCCCATCTCCGCTCCCCTCCCGGGGCTCCGCGGTCCCCGAGCTTACCTTTTCTCTCCGCCACTGGGGCTTCGGGAGATGATCCAACGATCAAACAGAGGAGCCAGAAAGCTCTAGCTGTCATTTTCGTAGACACGTTCCCAGACTCTAAAACCGAGCCTGGGCTTTTGCTCTCTCTTTCCCCCCACCCTTCTCCACACCCCCACCCCCGTTCATGCTAATGAGGGGCAGCCTTTGGGGAAACGGGAATCACTCCGTGAGCAGACCATTGGAACAAACCCGAGCTGCAAGGATTTCTCCCACTTCCTAGGGGGACGAGCACGTGGCCTCTCCAAGTTGTGCCTGGGAACGTCTGTCCGATGATAACCGCAAATCCTGCCCTGGAAACCTGTGCGGTTTGCGGGCTGGGGCAGGAGGGGCCATGGCGGGGGACGAGTAGGGAAGAATGAGGGCGTTGAGGCGCTGAGGAGAGGGTAAGGAAGAGGTGATGGGAAGTTTTGTCTACATTAACTCAACAACAAATAGACAAATTAGCACTTCGCCCGCTTGGGTTTGTGGGAGGAGGAGGTTCCAGATAGCAAACAAATTCATCCGGGAATTTTGCGGGCAATTTCTAGACAACTCAGGTCACTACACCGTACGTTTGTTTTCACCATTTTACTGTATCTGCAGTATATTCTAGAACTAGAAGGGGGAGGAAGCCTCCAGCTGAAATAGCTTTTCTTCTCCCTTCCTTACCCTCCCCCACCCCAGCCCTATTTGAATTTGGTATCTCTCACCCAGCCCTTGCAAAGTACCTTTTACCTGCCAGGTGTCTGGTGTAGGGGGCAAAGATGCGTGAAACACCTTCCAGTTGTCTAGTGACGTCTCATCTAAAGAAAGATGGATTTTTTTTTTCTTTCTAAGAAAAATAAACTCATTCCCTGCTTAGTTCTGATTTCGTGAAACAGCTCTGTATTTGGGTCCAAAGCTGAGTGGATCCTCCCTCGGAATGAACAGGAACCGCATTCACCAAAGCGGGAAGTAAGTTCACCATAGTAAACCCACACCCTCTTCGCTTTGTATCTCATTTCAACAGCTTCAAATCCAGAGGGAAGGGGAAATGCAGAGATGAAGGCATTTTATCCAAAGTATAGGAGCCAAAAGCAAGATGCAGCTGCTGAAAGAAATGACAAATTTTGGCTGCACTCGTACCTTATGTCTCAAAAATAATAGTGCAAGTGAACTGACAAGATTCGGGGGAAGGGGGAAGAATTGAGGACAGGCAGCCCAGACACATGAAACATCTGTTCTGTTTTTGAGAAAGAACCATAGGTAGACATTATGAAGTGACAGGTTTAATTTCAGTTTAAGAAATATTCTAGCATCCAAATATATCCAATATTCTAGAAATATTCTAGCATCCAAAATCTCCAAGAAAGTAAACTGCTTTGCCAGATTGTGTCAGTGACCTCCTGGCCATTGGGAACATCCAAAGAGAACATCCTGCAGAAAAAGTGTACAACAGCGTCCTGAATTAGGTGTGCCGTGGTTGGACAGATACAGTGAGGTGAATATTCTTCATACAGAGAGGGGCTGGCCATCCAGTCCTAGGTTTTACAATTTTTTAAAGATTTATTTATTTATGCATGCAAGAACTGGGATACAGGCCAGAGGTGGGGGTGAGAGGATTCCCCAGAGACAGAGTGGGGAGCAGAACAGGCAGATCTACTGAAATTCACTGCCGAGGGGAGCAGCTAGGAGACAGGAGAGTTCTGCTGGACCCTGTGAGTCACCTCCCTGGCGGGGGATCAAACTCATGCTGCAGTGGCTGTGGACAACTTCATAATGCTGCGCTTTAACCCATTGTACCACCAGGGAGGGCCTTGACAATGTTAATATGGGGGTTGCCTTGCGCTCTAGTTTAGTCCTCAGCTTTCTGCGATTTGAAATTGAGTTTAGTTTAGTCAATGGATCAGATTCATAAGACTGACTCGTGTTAACCAAACTCATAAAAGATAGATGTATAAACCAGAATGCCATTCATAATTTTCAGTGGAGAGGACTCATTAAAGCTGACTC